ATACTATCTAAAGCAACGTTCTCATCCAGAAACGTGAAGGCTGCTGTAATGACAGAGTTTACTTTGATCCAAAATGCCATTGCGATGTAGATAAGAATATTTTTGGTACCATTAATAAGGTTATAAACAAGTACTTGAAGCTGTTGAAGGTCCACAAACTAAACGCTCCCTGCTTAAAACAACAACTCGAAATCAACCGCTTTTCTTTTAGAAAGATAACCAAAGAATCCGGAACCCCAGCAATCCCAATTGACCACATATCTTTCAAGTCCCAAGATGCAGTATCAAAGGACTTTTGTGCATTTGACCTGCCTAAATCTGACCTTGGGACATGACGTTCACGAGCGGCGAAGGTTCTGTACACAGTTTATCAAGATATGTGGTTTAATTGTTATTAACGTCTGATAAAAGCAAGCTGCCAAAAATAGATCAAGTACAACAATTAATGAACAGAACTGTCCTTGCGTATATTGGTTAGAATATATTATTTCATCAGTTGGATACCCTCGCTGTTAGCAACATTTTCGGTCGTAATCCTAAGTTTCACTTCGCTATCCTTTCAGAAACTTATTACCATGAAAACTCGCTGTTAACGATATTTTCGGTCGTAATCCTAAGTTTCACTTCGCTATCCTTTCAGAAACTTATTACCATGAAAACTCGCTGTTAACGATATTTTCGGTCGTAATCCTAAGATTGACCTCGCTATCCTTTCAGAAACTTATTACCACGAGAATTGCGGTATATTGGTAATATTGCACGATCGACGATGGAAAATTAATCAGAAAGGCAACATGAAATAAATAACATATTTCTAAAAATGTGATTTGCACTGTACATTAATGTGTAAACAGACTGTATACTTTATTTTGTTAACCTATTAAATATTATACTAATTAAGTTTTACTCCTAAGATGTCTGTGAGCACTATTATCGTCTCCACTTAACTTACAGGGTTTGAATCTTTTATCTTAAACATTCTGATAATGTTGTTTTTTGTTTGTTTGTTGTTGTTGTTTTGTTTTTTTGGGAGAGGGGGTCATCCAGTGTTACAATATGGAATAATGATTTGGAAAGGGACATATTATAATGCTATGCATACAGTAATAGCTATTCAAAAGAAGCTTATAAATTTAATTATATAAAATAGAAATATTTTAAAAAACGAAACTGGTTAATATAAATTACTCAATGTAAGACAGCTATAAATATCTATATATTTAAACTTTTAAGTCATTCAATAAACTACTGTACAGTTATGGAAATGAAAATAGAATTTCTATCGTTAGAAATGTAATACTCTGTTGTGTTAAAAAGAAATTACACAAAAGCATTATAATTATGTGACTTCAAAATTATTTAATAACTTATCAAAATAAGAGATGAAATAAATATTAAAACATCATTTATCTAATATAAATATGTTTTAAAATATAATATTTATAAAGTTGTAAAAGTTTGTTTGTTTGTTTTGAATTTCGCGCAAAACTACACGAGGGCTATCTGCGCTAGCCCTCCCTAATTTAGCAGTGTAAGACTAAAGGGAAGGCAGCTAGTCATCATCAGCCACCGCCAACTCTTGGGCTACTCTTTTACCAACGAATAGTGGGATTGACCGTAACTTTATGACGCCTCCACGGCTGAAAGAACGAGCATGTTTGGTGGAACGGGGATTCGAACCAGCGAACCTCAGATTGCGAGTCGAGCGCCCTAACCACCTGGCCATACCGGCCCATAGTTGTAAAATAATTAATATATTAACATGTCAGTTTGTTTGTTTGTTTTGAACTTAATCACAAAGCTACACAACGGGCTATCTGTGCTCTGCCCACCACGGGTATCGAAACCCGGTTTCTAGAATTGTAAGTCCGCAGACATGCCGCTGGGGGGGGGGGTTAACAAAGGGTGGAATTGAAATGATGATTCAACCTATAACTAAAAATCAGGCTGGTTTTCTTGGTTTCGTAAGAAACAGTATTAAGGCTTAAAGTGTAAATGTTCGTGACAATGGGAACAAGAAGAAAAAAACAGTTACTATTAAGATGATGAAAGAAAACTGATCAATCACAAAACAGTCAGTCGTAAGTTCAGGTGTGTAAGTAAGGAAAGTCAGTTTGAGAACCCGTACAAACGTGCTTTTGGGATATCCCAATAAATATGTACTTTCTGTGTAATTTATTTGTATGTGTTTAAAAATAATAACAAAATCAAATATAATTTTTAATCGAGGAAAAGTTAGAAAACCCTCTCAATTCTTTGTCATAATCCCCCCCCTCCAGTGTCTCAGCGGCAGGTCAGAAGACTTATAACACTAAAAATCTAGGTTTCGATACCCGTGGTGGACACATGGGCACAGCACAGATGGTCCATTGCGTAAATTTGTACTTAATAATAACAAACAAACATTGTAATAATTTCTAAAATGAATAACTTTTAAAACTAACTGTTAGAAAAAGTGTTTGCGGAAACATTTTGATAAGCAAATCAAAAGTTTTTAAACCAAGAAAAATTTCCTCTTATTCGATTTCCAGCATACTTTTTATCTGTTAAATGTATGAAAATGTTTACGTTATAATACAATAAAACAAGCATACGCAGTGAACTTGGTTGGTTAGGAATTTTTAGTGAAAAGTTACAAAATGGGCCATCTACACTCTGTCTCTCGCGAAGAGCCGAACCCCGGAGAGTTGCCTCTGATCCACCGCGTACCATATATTGAGATTGAACTCAAACGGTAGTAATAAGCTATATCTTACAAATTATAACTAACCTTATGATTTATTTTTTATTACTGACTAGTTTGATTAGGAAGAAACATAATATAACGCTATGCATATAAGAATTGTTTTTGTAAAACGAGCTCATAAAGGTATATCTTACAAATTATAACTAACCTTATGATTTATTTTTTATTACTGACTAGTATGATTAGGAAGAAACATAATATAACGCTATGCATATAAGAATTGTTTTTGTAAAACGAGCTCATAAATTTCATTATACAAAATATAAGGGCTTTTTAGAAAAACACGGCTGGTAAACATAGATTAGTGAAAGTTATATATAGGATATACTTTCTTCACCTAGAAAAAGTTAAGAAACCCTTGCAATTCATTGTTATAAGCCCCCCCCCCCGCCGGTTATAAAGATAACAATGTTTTATTTTTATTTCCCTTCCTACCATTTCCCTTTCCCCCTCTTTCTCCCTCAAAGAAAAAAAAATATCCTAAAAGGATTGTTCCCTCTAAGCCTTAATGATTTCGGTAATACGATCTGCATGCCCTATTGCAGACAAAAATACTGCTTAAATAAAACATCGGACAAAGAACATAAACCATATACAACTACCGTTACATAGCTGACTCGAAGCTCTTGAATGACTTCGAATAATGCATATACAACATATATATATCTGTTTTATAATATTATCTACTATAATGAGGTAGCTGAAATTATGAAATAACAAGTAACAGTAACATATTCACACATTTCGTAATTTCTCCAGCTCACATTGAATGGTTTGTTTGTTTGTTTTGAACTTCGCGCAAAGCTACACGAGGGCTATCTGCGCTACCGTCCCTAATTTAGCAGTGTAAGACTAGAGGGAAGGGAGCTAGTCATCACCACCTACCGCCAACTCTTGGGCTACTCTTTTACCAACGAATAGTGGGACTGACCGTCACATTATAACCTCCCCACGGCTGAAAGGGCGAACATCTTTGATGTGACTGGGATTCGAACCCGCGACCCTCAGATTGCGAGTCGAGCACCCTAACCACCTGGCCATGCCGGGCCCACATCGAATGGAACGTATAGTTTATTGGTTAAATCAGCAGAATAAATAAGTGTTAAGAAAGTAGATGAACATATGCATGGTTAACAAAAAAATAACACACAAACACAATATTTTACAGAAATTGAAATATAACAAACAAAACCATCTACATACTAAAGTATTTAAAAAATTTCGTTTAACAATGGATTGTTTGTAATTAAGCACAAAGCTACACAATGGGTTATCTGTGCTCTGCTCACCACGGGTATCGAAACCCGGTTTCTAGCATTGTAAGTCCGCAGACATGCCGCTGGGGGTGGGTGGGGGGGGGGTTAACAAAGGGTTGAATTGAAATAATGATTCAACCTATAACTAAAAATCAGCCTGGTTTTCTTGGTTTCGTAAGAAACAGTATTAAGGCTTAAAGTGTAAATGTTCGTGACAATGGGAATAAGAAAAAAAACAGTTACTATTAAGAGGATGAAAGAAAACTGATCAATCACAAAACAGTCAGCCGTAAGTTCAGATGTATAAGTAAGGAAAGTAAGAATGTTTATATGGTTGGTTGGTTGTTTCTAGAACAAAGCCAAACTGGGCTATCTGCTGCGTATATCTCGCGTTGTAAGTCCGTAGACTTAATGCTGTCCCACCAGGGGGACAGACTAAAATGAAACTAGCGGAATTAGCTTCATTTTCATTTCTCTTTTCCTTTCAATCAGGCCTGGTGGTTAAGATGCTTGACTCGCAATTTGAGGGTCGCGGGCTCGAAACCCCGTCACCGAACATGCTCGCCTATTCAGCCGTGAGTGTGTTATAATGTGACGGTCAATCCCACTATTTATTGGTAAAAGAGTAGCCTAAGAGTTGGGCGTAGGTGGTATTGACTAGCTGCCTTCACGCTGGTCTATCACACCTAAATTAGGGACGGCTAACGCAGAAAGCCTTCCTGTAGCCTTGCGCGAAATTCAAACCAGACTTTTCTATCATTTATTTTCCCCTCTTTTTCTCCCCCTGTAAACAAATGTCTAAGATGGCTACTCCTCCTAAGCCCTCTCTACGAGCACTACTTGGCTTTGGTAATATGCTTTGTATACACGTAATATCTTATAGATAACATACTGTAAATAAATGATTGGAAACGTATATACCACAACAAAAAATATTCACTAGTTCGTAAAATAACAGTAGTCGAGTTGACTACCAAACAAAGAATTGTTAATCTTACCTGATTTTCTCCTAATAAATCTGTTAGGGGGCTCTGAAAATATAAAAATTGTACAACCATGTTAAATGATGTAAAATAGCGATAATAATAACTATTGCTTAAAAACATTTTTATTAACATTCTTTTAATTCAAAAATACTTATATAATTGGAGTGGAAAATGTTATTAATAGTATTTTAAATAAATTAAAAATTTTACAATAGTACAGACTATATACTAATTTATTTAATAAATTTATGTTTAACAAATGGGAGAATCTAACTGATGATTGAGCCTAAAGTCAAAGTTGAAACCTGTTTCCTTGGTTTCGTTAGAAACATTGTTAAGGTTTCAAATGTAAATGTTTGTGAGATTGGGATTAAAAAAAACAATTATTATCAGGCGATGTAAGAACATTGATCTTTCACATAAGTTAATCGTAAGATTAAATCTGTGTCAAAGAAATGACGTCAGCAAGATAAATGCTACACGAACACGTACTTCAAGGTTTAAGCAACGAAGGTAGGAACGAATAAACTATATTTCACGTACGCGAGAGCTGGAATTTTGTAAAAACGTGAAAGTATGGAACGCAGTGTCAACATAAATATGTCGACAGAAATATGTCCACGGAAATATGTCAACAGAAATATGTCCACAGAAATATGTCCACGGAAATATGTCGACAGAAATATGTCAACAGAAATATGTCAACGGAAATATGTCAACAGAAATATGTCCACGGAAATATGTCAACAGAAATATGTCAACAGAAATATGTCGACAGAAATATGTCCACGGAAATATGTCCACAGAAATATGTCACCAGAAATATGTCAACAAAAATATGTCCACGGAAATATGTCAACATAAATATGTCAACATAAATATGTCAACAGAAATATGTCGACAGAAATATGTCCACGGAAATATGTCCACAGAAATATGTCACCAGAAATATGTCCACAGAAATATGTCAACAGAAATATGTCCACGGAAATATGTCAACATAAATATGTCGACAGAAATATGTCCACGGAAATATGTCCACAGAAATATGTCAACATAAATATGTCAACAGAAATATGTCCACGGAAATATGTCGACAGAAATATGTCCACGGAAATATGTCCACAGAAATATGTCAACAGAAATATGTCAACATAAATATGTCGACAGAAATATGTCAACAGAAATATGTCAACAGAAATATGTCAACATAAATATGTCGACAGAAATATGTCAACATAAATATGTCCACATAAATATGTCAACATAAATATGTCGACAGAAATATGTCAACAGAAATATGTCGACAGAAATATGTCAACAGAAATATGTCGACAGAAATATGTCAACAGAAATATGTCCACAGAAATATGTCAACAGAAATATGTCCACGGAAATATGTCCGCAGAAATATGTCAACAGAAATATGTCGACAGAAAGATGTCAACAGAAATATGTCGACAGAAATATGATCACAATACGAGGTCTACAAAAATAAGTAGACAGTATGGGACCTACAAAAACAAATATACAGTTTGGATTCTATTGAACAAAAATCCACAGAAAGAGGCAGAGAGTATGGATTCTATCGCACAAAAATCCATAGATACAGAGAGACATTATGGATCCTGTTAAACAAAAATCCACAGAAACATGCAGGCAGTAACAATTCTACTGAACAAAAAACCACAGAAAGAGTTAGACAGTATGGATCATATTAAACAAAAATCCACAAAAACGTACACACAGTATGGATTCTATCGAAAAAATCCGCAGAAACAGGCAAACAGTATGGATTGTAGTGAATATAAATCCAAAAAAACATACAGACAGTATGTACGTATTATATTGAACAAAAAATCCACAGAAACATGCAGACAGTTTGGATTACATTGAATAAAAATCCACAGAAAAATACAGATAATTAGGATTCCATTGAACAAAGATCCACAGAATTGTGCACACAGTATGGATTCTATTAAACATAAATCCACAGAAACAGGTAGACAGTTTGGATTCTACTGAACAAAAATCCACACAAACAGGTAAACATTCAAGAAGCCTCAGTAAATATACAAACTCAGCAGCAAAAGTCGGGAAGTAGGGGAGGTTATCAAAAAAAAACTGTCAACAAAAATAGATTGATATTATTATGCATATTGAAAAACAAAACTAAAAAAATGAAAAAGTACCAAAGTTATTGAAAAAAACAACACAGAATTAAACGTAAAGTATGGAATATATCGACAATAAACAAATGAAATAGACAGACGTTATGAAGCCTAATGACATAAAACTCATAGCAATGAATAAAAATAACGATTCGACTTCTGAAATACCAACAATAACTGCTGCTTGGAAATGAACAGACTAAGAACATAACATCAAGAGAGACAGACAGACAGAAAAGTATTAGAAACAAATGTAAATTTGCAACCTAACCTTAAAACAACAACAAAAAAAGAGTCGTCGTTGTTGCTGTTCTAGTGCAAACGTACGCGATGAACTATCTGTGTTCTGTCCACCGCAGGGGTATCGAACCCCGAATTTCAGAGAGAGAAGATTAAGCAAAACAAAAGACGTGAAAA